CATATTAATTGTCGTTGATTTAGTACAACGATTAATATGAACCAGAGGGAGTTCCATCAACCAAGTATACTATTGAAAACTTTTGTGAACCCGTTATGTACTCAAAGGATCAGTAACATCCTCGTAACCCCGGAAGGAGGGACGGATCTTGGCCATACTCAAAGGATCAATAAAATCATGAACAAAAATGTGAAAAAAGAAGAATCATAAAAGGGATCGCCAAGAGCATATGCAATGCGCCTCATTTGTTCAATTTTTTAGATCATCTTTTAGCACTTTCCGCAAGAAAATCATCAAGAAGAAAATAAATGGGTTAAAAAAATATGTTTGATTGCCAAGCGCATAGATCATCAAGAAGAAAATCATAAAAGAAGACTACTTAATTACAGACCGTTTGGATACAGCATAGATCTTGAACTCCTGATGGTCGAGTGTGTCTTCATGGTCGAGTGTCTTCTAGCCGGTCGAGTGGAGTCTCCCTTGGTCGAGTGGAGCTTCTCTTGGTCGACTGGAAGGTAGCTTCGAATGATGATGTCCTTAGGTATGGTATCCTAGGTAGGTCCGTGACCCTACTCTAGGTACATAACCTCATCACCATCAGCCAACTGTCTGGATGGGAGGGAAGTTTCAGCTCCCTCCTCATCCTCCCACGCGACCCATTTCCTAACCCAGTCGATGACGCAGACGGCAGAAGACGTCGTTGTGACCGAATGTTGTGAGAAATGATGGCGGATGTTGCAACCGGTGAGATTACATGCTGCAAGTGGCAATGACAATGGGACGGCGTGCTGCGAGGGACTAGGGCGGGCACTGTGACCGCTGACACGACATACAACAACCGGCGATGACGGATGCAGTAGCGATGGGACGACCTGTTGCAAGAGCTGTTGGACAGTGCTCAGTCTAGCACAATTCTTTGCACGAAGAATAAACGACTACGCAATCCACTGTCGACTGAGATTTCGCAATACTGATTCTTTTTCTTAGTGCAAAGCTCACAATGAAATCAAGGCACGACATGCCACCAAGAGAAAAACAGTGACCAGTTCATTGTGGAATCTGGCTTTGCTTGCTTAATGTTTAGCCATGAGTCCTCTTTGGCTGTGGCTTAATTGGTTTTCTAGTAAGGATTTCTCACAACAACTCAGCTGTTTCTAAATTCTCGAGAAATTTCTGTATTTTTAAACTCCCAAATTCTAAACCAATTTCTTTCTAGATTACTATAGCTGAAAAATCCATGAAAATATTATTTGTGCGAGTTTTTGGATGGGAGAGAAGGCGGTGCCTGGGGCTAGACGGGGGCGCCATAGTGAGCTCCAGCGAGGCACAGGGACACCGGCAAGGCCGAGCCTTAGCCGACGACGACGCTGCTGGCTATGTTGTCGCAGACACAGGCGAGTCCAAAACTTGACAGGTTTGGCTGAGGGTCTTTTTGTACCTACTCCTGTTGAATTCGACGAAGCCGAGCAGAAGACGGGGATGCCGCGGCCTGCCATGACGGTGCCAGCGAGGTAGAGGCATGAGATGATTGGATTAGGGGAGGGGTAGACCACGCGCTGGTGGTAGAAGACAATTTGAAGGATGCTCGGTCCCTTCCACTAAAACTGAAAAAAGCGAGCAATTTTAACATGTTCCTCTTACCTCTTTTTTTAACATGAGAGGTAAGAGTATATAATAGATCTGACACATTGGTCTATTAATTAGTGGTCTGATTAATTCTTACTTTCTTATCGCA